CTGCAGCTCTCAACAGCAAAGAAGCTGCTAGCCACCTGTCTCATCAGTCTCCCTGCTGCTGCTCGCTGCAAGCGCGAAGCAACAGCAGCAACAACAGCAGCAACAGCAGCAGCAGCAGCAGCAGCAGCAGCAACAACAACCATGCTGCACAGCAGCCAGCACAGACATGGGCCCGCTCCAGGCGGCCTAGGCGTTGGGATGTGGAAGCCCCGACGCAGCAATGAGGTGTATATACACCCCAGCTTCTTGCTGCTGCTGCTGCTGCTGCTGCCGCTGCTGCTGCTGCCGCTTGCTGCTGCTGCTGCCGAACCCGGAGAGAGAGCAGCAGCATACTAAAGAAGCAGCAGCTGCCCGCGGGGGCTGCAGCAGGAGCAGCAGCAGCGCCTGCATGCGTAGCAGCAGCGCCAAAGTGTGCTGCTGGGGTTGCTGCAGCAGGTGCAGCAGCAGCAGCAGCATCAAAAAGGGTAGGAAATACAACACGTGGATTCTGATGCTGCTGCTGCTGCTGCTGCTGCTGCGTGTGGTGCTGCTGTTCAGGCGTGGCAGCAACAAGCCTATCAGCAGCAGCTGCAGCAGCAATACGCAGCGTTGGGATTCGACTGCTCCCAGCTGTACAGCTGCTACAACGGGGCGATGCAGCAGCAGCAGCAGCAGCAGCAGCAGCAGATGCTGATGATGTCTGCAGCATATGGGCAGCAGCACTGCATAGACAGCACAAGCAGCCTGGGGGGCTGGAGCAGCAACAGTGCTGCAGCATCAACAGCAGCATCCGCGGCCTCATGCCTCTCTGGCAGCGCCTTATGATTTGCAGCAGCAGCAGCAGCAGCAGCAGCAGCGGCGGCAGCAACAGCAGCAGCAGCGGCAGAAGCAGCAGCAGCAGCGGCAGAAGCAGCAGCAGCAGCAGCAGTAGCAGATCTACTGCTGCTGCAGCTCCACCTTCATGCGGCTGCAACTCTGCTGCTGGGTGCACTCGGTCTTGCTGCAGCAGCAGCAGCAGCAGCAGCAGTCGTTGCTGTGTTTGTGCTGCTGGGTTTTATCTCTGTGGCTTTGTCTGCCTTTGTCTCTCTTTTCTTCTTTTTTTTTTATTGTAACAACAACATAATAATAATAATTGTTATTATTATTTTTATTTTTATTTTTATTATTTTTATTATTATTATAATATATAGAAAAAAACAAAAACAAACAAAAAAAATAAATGCAA